GATAGCTCTATCTTTCCTTTGTTAGTCATTTGTAAATTCTAAATGGTCAGCATAAAATTTAGTAGGTAAAGAATATATGTTTAGTATATATTTCAGAACGAGTTACTGCTTGGCTTATCATGATCAATGAACCACTACAATCTCTTATTAGGAAACATAATTTGTTTATTTATATTTTGCACATCTAATCACTAGACTCCATTTTATATGTTACATTTTTCTTGCTTATGGGAAAATAGCAAAATTACAGATTACTTTTATAGCTTTGTCTGTCCCCTCTCTGAGAGAGGTTTAATAACCACTAAAATGGTAGAGTATATGAAATACAAATATTAAATAGTAGATCTTTCTTTTCAAATGAATATGTCATAACTTAATATCCAAGTAAGAGCTGATCTTCAGAGTAGTTCTCTTAGGATCACTTAACTCCTTTTATGCTGGAAGTGTGAGAATCAGATTGTGATTAGGCAAAGAATCCATCATTTTAACTGCACAGATTTTTTTTAGAAGCTTATATGATCTCCCTTATCACCACACCAAGTATTGTAACTTGGCTGATCCCTGAGAACTAAGCTAGTAGGGAAATTGAAAAGAATGTGTTACAGGCACTGAATAGAGAAAAGGTTTTTTAAAGCATTGATGGAATCACAGAATGAAGGAATGGTTTTTCTTGATGGTACTGTTTTGAAGTAGGCAATATCATTAGGGTGTGTAAGTTTTTAAAAACTACAGCTAAGGGCTGGGAAGGTGGCTCAGTGGTAGAGCGCTTGCCTTGCAAGCCTGAGGCCGTGGGTTCGATTCCTCAGCACCATATAAGCAAAAAGAAAAAAGCTGGAAGTGGTGATGTGGCTTAAGTGGTAGAGCGCTAGCCTTGAGCTGAAGAGCTGAGGGACAGCGCCCAGGCCCAGAGTTCAGGCCCCACAACCGGCCCCCCCCCCCAAAAAAAAACAACAAAAAAACTACAGCTAAATTCCTTACAATTAAATATAGTAATTTAAAAAAGTACTTCTCTATATATTTTCTTCTATTTTTGTTCCTTTTTCTTAAAATTTTTAATTGTCTTTACTGTTGCACAATAATTTTGATTTGACAGTATAGAAAAGTGAATACAATAGAGCTTTTACCTTTTTTTTTAAGATGGGTTTTCACTAAAGTGAACAATTTGACTAAGACTGGAGATAGTTGTACAGACAAATTGGATTATAAGTATTATGTGCTAATTATGCCAACTTTGAAGCCTACATGTCACAAAAAATATTTAGAATGGTAAAACTATTTCATGTATCACTTATAACTATAAATTTTGACTGTCTTTTGAAAAGATTAGGGACCAAAGTATATCTGTAATTTGGAAATGATAGTACACTCTGAAAACTTACCTTATTTGAAGCTTATCTGGGATTTTAAAGAATATACCAGTTCCTATAAGCAGCTCTATACTTTAAAGACCACTTCTAAAATAATTTAAATATCAGAGTTTTGTCATGAGGTTAGATTTACCATTATAAACACTGTTGACTAGTTGTTAGCTTGATTGTTACAAATTGACAAGTGTTTAGAGGTAAAGGTGATTTGCACTTTTAGGACCCAAATAATAAGTTAAAGAGAATTTGATTGGAAGGCATAAAATTGTATCCCATGGCTGGGCAGCAGTGGCTCATGCCTGTAATCCTAGCTATTCAGGAGGCTGAGATCTCAGGGTCTCAAGCACCCAAGCCCAGAGTTCAAGCCCCATGACTGACAAAAAAAAAAAAAAAAAAAAAAACAACAAAAAATTGTAACCCATGTTTGCCACTCATAGCTGAACTTACTTGTGTTTTAACAACAGAAACACAGATTAAAATATTTGGTATTCTGTTCTACAAGGGCAATGCAAGCCTCTGTCTTTCCCTCCCTCCCTTCATTTTGCATAATGTATTATATAGTACAAAATTTGGTCTACAATTCTCAGCCATAGATGAAATCACTGTGGCCATTCCTGCCCATCTTTGTTTTCCCACTCTTGTCTTTTTTCCTCCTCTTCCCCTCCCCAACATGGAAACAAGTTAGTGGTTCTGAAGTACTTACTGTTACCACCTGGGTTTCAGTTTGTTTAAGTTGACAGTTTTTAAAAAATTATGTCACTGAAGCTACAATTAGTGAAGTGGAACTTTATTAGTGTTTAATTTCTTTTACATATTAATATTCTTACTGGATGTTTCTTAAGTTTTGCACAAATTTTCATTTTTGTTTTGTTTCTAAAATAATTTCGTAGGTTATGAAATAGATTAGTACACTTCCATGTAAGAATACCTTTTCTCTTTAAATTTTTCTGGAGAAATAACTTTTTAGGGAAAATAGTTTTGTTCTTTTTTAAGAGCCATTAAATGTGTATTATTTTCCTACATGTATAACCAGGGTGATGAGGTGATCTTTTAGAGAATATTTTCTTTTGTTTATTTGATTTTTCTATACATTTAAGTTATTACTTAAAATAACCACTAGGAAGAGTTGCATGAATTATGAAAGAGATTATGGTAAGTACCAAAACACTTGAATAGAACTCATTTCTGAAGACAAAAACAGAAAAATATTGTCAGTGCCAATTTATAGAACCATGAGGGCAGCTTCACAGTGCTCAGGTATTTAAGAAACTGCACGAAGACACCAGATCCTGCCCTTGAAAAGAAAGTTTCTATGTTTGAGACAAATTGGTCTAAAGTATGAAATGTAACCTGGGTGCTGTACTGAAAGCTGTGCCATGATTATGCAAGTTGTAGTTACTAGTCAAAGTTTAATTGCTTCATTATTTTAAAGAGGATATTGACAGAATGTCAGAAGATCTGTAATATGTTTTATTTGGAAGATGTAAATAATGTATACAAACTTGTATGTGATGGGTTGGGAAGTATTTAAATTCTAGTTTTGTTTTTCAAAGGAGAAATTGAATGTTTATAAGAAAAAAAGCCTAATAAATAGTTATGTTTGACCATGAATTATGATTTTGTATTATTGCTGTTCATTTTATTATAGGTATTCTCACACTGAACACATTCCAAGGGAAATTGAAGATACATGGAATATGTTGGACATTTCAAATTTGTTAGTTAATATTTTTTTGTAATGTTCACAACTGTACAAGTAGGTATGTTAAGTGTTTGACACAATAGGAACTATACAAGTCAATTTCACTTAGAGTTTAAGACCTTAATATGCCCGAACTTGAAGTTGTTTAATACATTCTTAGTCCATAGTGCTAAAATCTTAGAAACATTTAGAAAATAGAAATCGTTTTTCTTTGATTAGGAAAACAATGGTTTGTTTTTGTTTGTTCTTCAAAGAAACAGGAGAAACCTTCTCTTGTAGCCCAGGTTAACACTGAACTCATGCTGTCTGTGCTTTCCTAATGCTATTCAGATATGTGCCACAGTTTTTCTGTTTTGTGTTTTCTTCCTTAAGTTTTTGTGTGCAAACAATCTATCCTGAAGTTAACAATTCTTACTCCTACTTAATTTTCACTACAGAATATTGTTAGTGCATTTGAATACCCCTGCAGAGTATTGTTTATGATATACACATGCACTATATTTCTTGGGTAAAATTTTGGATGTTTTCTAAAATTTTTAGAAAATTTTAATTCTGAAATGTCTGGCTTCAAAAGTTTCAGATACGGGATTGTGGATTAAAATCAAGGTATTGTGAAAGCTGAGTGTGGTGGTACAGGGCTGTAATCCCAGCACTTGGGAGGCTGAGGCAGGAGGTTCATGAGTTGAAAGCTAGCCTAGGCTACAAAGCAAGACCTACATGTCAAAACTAAAAAAGGTGTGTGAAAGTTCTTGAATTCATCTCTTGTCATTCACAGGGTAGGTATTTTTTTTTGGAAATACTATTTATAGCTAGGATTATAGACAGACATGGGCTATGGGTACCTGCAGGACTCTTAATTTATATTGTTTATTTTTGAGATCAGTGCCAACTGCCCTTCTAGGCTTTTTTTTTTTTTTTTTGGTGATACTGGGCTTTAACCTCTGGATCTCATATTTCCTAAGGTGTGCCACCATTTGAGCCATACCATTTGCTTGGCAGGCTTCAGACTAGCTACACTACACCTGGCTTGCTGCATTCAGGTCTGATAGTTAAAATACGAAAAAGAATAACAAGGCCCGTGGTTGATGTGGACAATTTGAACCTATTTCCATACTAATAATCTAAGGTGTTTCTACCTTGACAAAAAGTGAACCCTGGTATTTCTACATTACTTCTGTCTATAGAAGTACATTGATGGAACGTATGTAATCGTTCAAAAAACAACATACGTTAACCATGTTAGAGGAGAATGGTCATGGGGAAATTGAGCCATAGCCATGCTGAATCGAAGTCTTCCTAAATGTGCTTTGCAAGTACTCTACAGGGATCCAAGTGAAGGGGCTGAGGGGTGTGATCAGGAGCCCCTTCCCTTGGGTGGCGTCTGATGACCCAAATTCCACCCCTGGGAGCCAGGAGCGACCGCGTGCCTGCACCCGGTCACTCACGGGTTAATGATGGGGGCCCCAACACACCTCGGAACCAAACAACAGCTCCAGGCGCGCAGCTCCTAACGAGGCATCTCCTGGGCTTCCGCGGGGCGCTCCGTGGACGTTCCTAGCGGACGAGGTCGGCTTGTACTCTGGACCGCCCCGCGCTTCTACGCATCCCCACCAGCCACACCTGAGCGCCAGCTTCCCAGACCAGGCCAACTCCCGCCCTCCACGGCCCTGCGCTCCCCCGGGTCTGCATCCGGTTCCGGAACCTCCCGCCCGAGGCCCCGCCTCCGGCCTCAGCCTTGGCCCCGCGTGACCCGGCGGGAGGCGGGAGCGGGCGGCGGGGCCGAGGAGGGGCCGTGGGCGGGCGGGCGCGGGCGCGCGGGCGGGCGGGCGCGCGGGGTGGGAGGGGCTGCGCCTCAGGTCCGTCCCACTCGGAGGCGGCCTCCGCGCGCCAAAGTCAAACCCGGGGCCCGCCGGCGCGCGCTGCGAGGACAGGCCCGGGCGAGCTCCGCAGCCAGGCCCGCGCGCGCACCTGCGGCCGCCTTCCCGTCCTCTCGGCCCGCCGCGTCCGAGGCCGCCGCCGGACGAGGCATGGCCACTCCGCCCAAGAGGCTCTGCCCGTCCCCCGCCGCCAGCTCGGAGGGCACCCGCATCAAGAAAGTCTCCATCGAAGGGAACATCGGTAAGGGGCTCCCGCGAGCGACCGGCCCGAAGCAGAGGGCATGGCGGCGGCCGGAGCCCCTGCGGGCTCCATCTCCTTGCTGTGCTCACGGAGGGAGGGCGTTCCTGTAGCCCGGCGGAGTGGACGCTCCCGCAGCTCCGCTTCCGGCCCGGCCCTGCCCCGCGCCGCCCCGCGCTGCCTTCCCGCCGCGGCCCCGCGCTGCCTTCCCGCCGCCGCCCCGCGCTGCCTTCCCGCCGCCGCCCCGCGCCGCCCCGCGCTGCCTTCCCGCCGCCGCCCCGCGCTGCCCCGCGCTGCCTTCCCGCCGCCGCCCCGCGCTGCCCCGCGCTGCCTTCCCGCCGCCGCCCCGCGCCGCCCCGCGCTGCCTTCCCGCCGCCGCCCCGCGCTGCCCCGCGCTGCCTTCCCGCCGCCGCCCCGGCCTTTGTGAGGAACCCGAAGGACCCCTGCACTGTTGGAAATGTAAACAGAATATTCTGGGGCCGGGGGCTTGTCGAGGGCGCCGGATCTTTGTGAAGTGTTACTAGGCCTAAGTCGCATCCTCCTCCTCCTGTTGGTGTTATTGTTATTGTTATTTCATAGAACTAATTGCTATCCTACCACATCTAGAGAACATTTCCCCAAGCTGCCTTTGTACTTTACAGACAGCTTTCTTCCCTTCAAGAAGGGAACTGCTGACCTGATTTTCTTCATCCCTGAAAAATTACCTTTGCCAGAATGTCATATTAATAGAATCATAGAGTATCTAGGTTTTTGTGACATTTCTTTTACTGAGCACGATGCTTTTGAGAGACCTCATGTTGCTTGCTGTTTTTAATTGGTGAGTAGTCTTCCATTGCCTGGATGAACCACAACCATTTGTGGACATTTGGGTTTATCTTTAGTTTTTAGTGATTGTTAATCAAACTACCGTAAATATTTAAGCACAGGGAAAGCAGCTCTTAATGGTCTCAATTAGGGTATCCCTCCCTCAACCTTACCAAATATCCAAGTAAACATTGAATCATGGTTCAAAGATCACTAGCATTTTTATTAACCCTGATTGGGCTCACCTACATTATGCATATCATTTGCAAGATGAATGTCTGTTCCTGATTCTTCTATATTTCCTAACACTGGAAACCCATCACTGATGGATGCTTCCTGTTTTTGATAGAAATTTTATTTTGGGGACAATCTGATACAGCAAATATTTTAATTCTTGCCGCAAAGTTTTTTTTTAAAAAGACAAGACAAGCAGAGGTTCTAAGCATTCAAAAGAACAGAAGAAATCTGAGCACACTCTCAAAGATTGCTCCAGACACCTTTCAGTGAAACAAACCCTCTTTTCCTGTCAGCAATCAGGATATCAGCATAACTCCTCACAGCCTCTGAATTGAAAAAGAAGGCCACAAGTAAAAAGTAGTTAGAAAGTAGGAGAAAGTAGTTAGACAAAGCTATCTTGAGAGTTAATTTGATGGACAGCCCCACAGATCAAATACCACTGTGTATTAGTCCCTTTTCTTCTGCAAGCCATTCAGGAAATACAATACCTACAAACTTTCCTCCAGCCATCTTTATTCTCAGGACCTGAAATAATTTCCTAATGTGTCACTCAACCTCCATTTTCTCTTAACTACTCTCAGACACATCTTTCTGTAAGTAAATTCATTTGTTATCCCTGCTTAAAATCCCTCATTGACTTTCTTGTTACTTACTCTAAAAGGAGCTGCATACTGATACATTTGCACAATATGAAGATGTGCACAGATTTGGGAAAACGAGGATTAAAACATTTTGAAATGTTTACATAAACATCTAAGTCGTTGGTTTCCAATGAAAAATCTGAAGGTCTGGTAACATTAGTCCTATATTTCTGTATAACACCAATTGGTATTTAGCCAGAGGGAGTGTGTAATCACTATATTTTGTGTTTCTTATTATATCACTTTGTCAGTTGCTGCTCATTATTTTTTAATGGTTCAAGTCTTTTCCACCTTACTATAGTACCAGGTCCAAATAAACAATGTACAGATTGTTAATCTGTGTAGAAGACTTGTTATACATTTCCTCTATTTTGGTCATTTTAGGTTTCTACTCATGAATTTTCTCTTGTCTTATATTACTAAAGTACAGTTTCACGTTCCATTTGTGGAGGCTTTATCTGTTCAGAATGACTAGTAGTATCAGAATAACTGCTTAGTACTAGGAATTTATTAGTTCCCATGAGTTTAAAAAATACTGACATGAACAAGGTACCAGTGACTCTTGCCTATAAGCCTAGCTTCTCAGGAGGCTGAGAATCAGAACCTTGGTTCAAAGCCAGTCTGGGGAGAAAGTCTGAGACATTCCATCTCCACAAAAAGCTAGGCTGGAGGTATGGCTCAAGTGGTGGAGCAAACTAGCCAAGTGAGACCATAGACTGTTGAGTTCAAATCCTGAAACGTGCAAAAAAAAAAAAAAGCACCTTGGTTCTTGTTCTCTTTCACCTTCATAGAATATGAATTCATTAAATAACATTTTCTAGCTCCCATTCCCTGTCAGAAGTTAAGGAAATAGATATTCATTTATGAATTACCACAGTGGTTATTCTACATGAATTAAAATTTTTTGAAATATGGTCACACTACTACTAGTCAGTATCAGAAGAAAGTTTAAAGTGTTAACCCTTAAGTGGTTTAAGACCGTTATTGGCCATTGTTTTAATGTGTTCCTTGGTTGTACTTTATTTTTTGGTGGGTCGTGGGGCTGGAACTCTGGGCTTAGCACTGTCCCTGCACTCTCCAGCTCAAGGCCAGTGCTCTACCGCTGGAGCCACAGCACCACTTCCGGTTTTCTGAATGGTTTATTGCAGATAAGAGTCTCATGGACTTTCCTGCCCAGGCTGGCTTTGAAATTCGATCCTCAGATCTCAGCCTCCTGAGTAGCTAGGATTACAGGCGTGAGCCACCAGCGCCCGGCTTGGTTGTTATTTCTTAACATATTCTCTTAGTGTAGCTCAGTGGGGTTGTTGATCATTGAAAATCATTTTTGTAAGTGCCCTACAAACCCTAACTTCACCCTTTGAATGCAAAATTTTAGGCACCAGTGCTTTTCCCACAGCAAACTGATTGCCACACAGTTTATCCTTAAATGTTTTTCCCGTTTTCTGGCAAAAAGGGCTTTTGTAGCAAGGTTTTGCTTCTGTTCTGTCCTTTTGTGCCACTCCTTTACCTCCTTTTTATGTTCTGTGTGATCTTTTCTCTTGCCCTGTATAATGTTGGAAGGTTGAATATTATTCTGCAAGTCAAAGGTAAGTTCTTTTGTTGCCCTCCTTTTTCCATTTCATAAGGCAAAAAATATCTTTGCTTGTGTATAAATTGAAATTATATGTTCTTGGGCAAGGGGAGAACAAGAACATATTGCTGAGCAGCAATGTCAAATATAACCACATTTGGTGGCTCTAGATAGAAAGGGTGTGGTGGTCATTAGAATCGCTGTACCCTATTAGATACTATGTCAGGATTGTCCTTACTATGAAACGCGACATGTTCTTGGCTAATTTAAAATTACTGTGTGCACAGTATATCCTGATTACCCCCTGCATATGTCAAAACTAAAACTTTCTTCCCTCAGCCTTCTCTCCCTCCCCCTCCTCCTCTCCCTATCTCCTTCCCTATTTCTCTACCTACCATGAAAATCCTGTAAAACAGAGTCATGAAAGCAAATGAAGAGAGCATGACATGTAGAAAGTGCTTTGCAAAACTGAATTGTTTCTATTGACCATAGTGTTAATTAGTTTCAGATAGTAATATTATTTCTTATTTTAAAACTAAGCATTGGCTATCTTTTCATATTGTTTGGACTAAGAGTATTGTACTTGCTTGGTTTGCTCGCTTGCCTCACATCCCACCACAAGAGCAACCTCCCCTGTTCTGCTGTTTGCTGGTTATGTTGGAGATGGAATCTCTTAGGCTTTTCCACCCTGCCTGGCTTTGAACTGCAATTCTCAGGATCTCAGCTTCCTGAACCAGGATAACAGCTTGAACTATCAGTGCCCAGTCTAATTAGTTTCTTCCTCCTCCTCCTTCTCCTCCTTCTCTTCCTCCTCCTCCTCCTCCTCCTCCTCCTCCTTCTCCTCCTCCTCCTCCTCCTCCTCCTCCTCCTCTCCTCCTCCTCCTCCTCCTCCTCCTCCTCCTTCTTCTCCCTCTCCTCTCCCTCTCCTCTCCCCCTCCCCCTCCCCCTCCTCCTCCTCCTCCTCCTCCTCCTCCTCCTCCAACTCCTCCTTTCTTCTTCCTTCTTCCTTCATCTCCTTCCTCCTCCTCCTCCTTCTTCTTCTGCCCAGTCTAATTAGTTTCTTCTTCTTCTCCTTCTCCTTCTCCTCCTCCTCCTCCTCCTCTTCTTCCTTCATCTCCTTCCTCCTCCTCCTCCTCCTTCTTCTTCTTCCTTCTCCCTTCTTCCTTCTTTCTTCTTCTTAATATATTGTTTTTTAAGACAAGGTTTCACTATGTAGCCCAGCCAGTCTTGCTTACCCCATCTTACTGCCTCAGCCAACCCAAATGCTGGGATTATAGGCATGTACCACCATGGTATAAGATAGAAGAGGAACTGATCTTTGTAGATAGAAAAAAAAAGAACTCAGGAAATTTTTGAGATGCAAGAGCTTGGAAAGACTGTCAGCTCATAACAATTAACTGGTTATCACAACTATTTTTATGAGGAGAGTACTTTATGTTCAGAGGCTTGGGAGCTGCTCAAATTCATGCAGCTAGTTAAGAGAGAAATAGCCTTAACTACTTCAAAAGTAGGTAGTAATTGATAATAATTAGTAGTTGGCAGTTGTTTGGCTAACGAAAGTGAATCTTAAGAAGTCGAATTTTTTTGTTGTTTTTCATGACACCTTGCCTGCGGTTTTACCAGATATTAAGTTCCTCTGTTCAATGACTAAACAAATGTGTTCAACAGAAGTGGGCAGGGACAGCCACCTTTCAGTTTTCATTTTAAAAAAATGCAGAGGAAGTTTAGAAAACTGAGTTTGGTGTTTTTAATTATCTTGTAAAACCTGAACCTGGTTACTATTTGGTTTTTTTGTTTTTTTCTTTCTGACAAGTTGCATTCCTCAATTTTACCTTTCCTGTCGTGACAGCTGCAGGGAAGTCAACATTTGTGAATATCCTTAAGCAAGTCTGCGAGGATTGGGAAGTGGTTCCTGAACCTGTGGCCAGGTGGTGCAATGTTCACAGTACCCAAGATGAGTTTGAGGTATGAAAAATAAAAGTGTTCTGGGTTAGAGAACAGGTAATGTATATAGTCTCTTGGCTTTTTTCAAATACAACTTTCCAATCTATCTTTACATTTGTATCTTTCTCTGGGTGGTCCTTACATGAAGAAAATTGAACTGTGTATGTAAGATTTACTCTCTATTGCATCTGAGTAACAAAAGTTAAAATGTTTTGAAGAATCTAATTAGAAATTAATTTTTTGAATGGATTTTTATTATTTGTTTGAAAACAACCAAAAAAATCCCACCCAATAACTGAGTTTAGTTTTCCTTTCCAGCCTTTTTTATAAGGAAAAAAAATTACCTTATATTTCTTTGTATTATACTAACATTTTTTTCAGACTTACTGTGGACACTTTTCACACTTTTACTCTGGACACATTTAGCACTTTTCCTTACTGCATTACAAATAAGGAAAAGAGAATTAAATAAATAAAATGATTAAATTTAATAGAACGTTTGGTTGTATGTGTATTAGCGTGATCTCTTAGATTTTTATTTCTAGAGAATTGAGACTTGATATTGAAAAAAGAAAAGAAATCTTTAAAAATAGAAATTTTGTTTAAATGGACAGAACATAGAAAAAATATTTTTTTAAGTGTAACTCTTCATGTGAGGATTTGGGGAATAATTGATTATTGAAAATGTAAATCATATATGCAAGAGAAATCACAATAAGATACTTTGTAGACTGAGTATATACTGGTTTGGGCTTGTTTTTATGGTACTGGAGATCAAACACAGTGGCTCTATTGCTTAAAACCCCAGCTCTTACATTTTTTTTTTTTTGGCCAGTCCTGGTGCTTGAACTCAGGGCCTGCTCATGGGCTTCTTTTTTTCAAGGCTAGCACTCTACCACTTCAGCCACAGCACCACTTCCAGCCTTTTCTGTTTATGTAGTACTGAGTAATAGAACCCAGGACTTCATGCATGCTAGGCAAGCACTCTACCACTAAGCCACATTCCCAGCTCTTATGTATGGTTTTGAATGACTAAGAATATTTTCTCAAACACCTGTTTACTAAGCATAGTTCACTGTAAGCCTGGTGCCCCAATTATCAGAATGTCTAGAAGTAAATCTTTTTTTTTTTTTTTTTTCGGGTCCGGTCGTGGGTCTGAACTCTGGGCTTGGGTGCTGTCCCTCAGCTCTTCAGCTCAAGGCTAGTGTTCTACCACTTGAGCCACAGCGCCACTTCCAGCTTTTTTTTTTTTTTTCTGCTTATGTGGTGCTGAGGAATCAAACCCAGGGCCTCATGCTCTACCACTGAGCCACCTTCCCAACCCTAGAAGTAAATCTTGAAGGGACTTCCCACTTGGACTCCATTTTGTTAATAAATTGATGTTTCTGATTTTCAGAAAAGGGCAAAGACTATTTTAAGAATATAAAGGAGGATAGAAATATATTTGTTTCTTTGAACATTTTTAAAAGTTGCTAACTATAGAAAAGAATGTGGGACATACCTAAACTTTGAAAAAGTTTTAAAGCTATTATCTTGGGTGGAGATGTGGCTCAAATAATAAAGTGCCTGTCCTGCAAGTATAAAACTTTTGAGTTCAGACCCCAGCACTGCTAAAAGTTAAAAGAGCTAATATCTCGATAGCTATCATCCAGGTGAAGGAATAAAATATTATCATTATTTTAGGAAACTTTATTCATCTTTCTCTAATTACATCTTAAATAAGAGCTCTAATATGTGAGATGGCTCCTAGTTAAAAATTGCTGGGCTGCAGTGGCTTACACCTGTAATCCAAGCTACTCAGGAGGCTGAGATCTGAGAATCGTGATTCAAAGCCAGCCCAGACAAGACAAGCCATAAGACTTTTATCATTAATGGGCCAGCAAAGAGCTGGCAGTGAAACTGGTTGAAGTGGTAGAGCACTAGCATTGTGCAAAAAATAGTTCAAGAATAGTACCCAAGCCCTGAGTTCAACTGCCAGGACCAGCAACAAACAACAAAATATATCATTGCTCTATCACTTAATGTTGGGAGTATATTAAACTTTTATTATGCTGCACAACAGAGTTTGGGAAACATTGTACTTATATACTTGGGAGTTAAGAGTTCAGAGGGATTAGTAAGATTATATGGAATCTAGAGGGATTAGTAAGATTGTATGAATAACTCATCATTAGACTATGACACACGGATGCATTTCTGTTCATTTTACTTGTGGCTTCATGAATCTGGTATTTCATGTTCATTGGATGGGACAGTTTCTTCCATGTATAGAGTCTGATCACCAAACTGGCTTTTTCAATTAGCATACAGATGATCCTATTATTACTATTAACATCAGGCAGTTCACTGTAACCCAGTTATGTCTCTGTTATGTTACAGTTTGGTTACCTCTGATATCCTTATAAACTTGGAGGATAGCTTTCGCGTGCGTGCGTGCGTGCGTGTGTGTGTGTGTGTGTGTGTGTGTGTGTGTGTGTGTGTGTGTGTGTGTATTTTTTTTTTTTTTTTTGGCGGTCATGGGGCTTGAACTCTGGGCCTGAGCACTGTCTCTCAGCTCTTCAGCTCAAGGATAGCACTCTACCACTTGAGCTACAGTGCCACTTCTGGTTTTCTGGTGGTTTCTTCGAGATTAAGTTTCCTGCCTGGGCTGGCTTTGAACCTCAGATCTCAGCCTCCTGAGTAGCTAGGATTACAGGCGTAAGCCACTGGCGCCCGGCTAGATTTCATATATTTTGTGTGCATATTAGGGTTGTAGTTTTCTGTACTCCCAGGAAGGGTTTCAGACGGGGAGAAAAATATTTTGGAGATAAGGTTATATAAGGTTAAGGTCAAGGTATCTGGGTAGCTTTCCCACACTTGGAGTATTTTCTTTCTTTTTTTCCTCCCCTTTGGCCTCCACTAGAGTCAAGAAGTTGTGTTTTATGGTAGAGTTCTTACCTAGTATGTTCAAGACCTGTGTTTGTTCCCTAGCACTACAACCACTCCCCCTCTCTCCCCCCCCCCCCCAAAAAAAGATTCATCCTAGAGGCATTTCCAAACTCATCTCTAGTCTCTTCCTTAGAGTATTATGTGAATTACTCACTAAATCTCCACTTTCTTATAATACTATCAAATAGTGAGAAGTGGACCTTTTTCAGTTCCAACATTGACCAGTAACTAAATGTGCACTTGCATAGCTTTATTTTTTTTTACTGTTTATTTTTTTAGCCTGCCACCTAGTGGCTGAAATGTTTCTGTACTGTCAATAGTCTTAACAGCAATTTTGTCAATTGTGTTACCATTAAGAAGCACAGCATTTTATAAGATTCTTGCCTTTCCCATCCCACTTTATTCCCCTAGTAAAGATGATTTTTAAAACTTGGTACTCAGATTATCAACCTTTGTTTTAAAGATTTATTTCAATTAATAATGTGCATTATTTGATGATTTATGTGATTTATGCCCAAACCTTTACTTAGTTCAGTTTTGAGATGGACAGGTATTAGGGAGAGTTTTTTTCTCTTTTTTTAAATTTTTTGAGCTGAATTCTTTGGGTGGATGCTGAGTAGTATTATTTTCTTTTTAAAAATTAATTTGTAAGACATTCATATGGTACACCAAGTGTTACTGCTAGTTAACATGTTACTACTAGTACTATATTTTTTGTCTTTGTTTTTGCATTTTTTGGGTTTGAATTTAGTGTCATGGTTCTTATTACTAGGCAGATACTCTACCACTTAAGCCGTATTTCCACCTGTTGACCTGTGGTCTTGAATTTATGCTCAAGTTAAACTAGATCTTGATTTTCCAATTTGTACTTCCTTTGTAGCCCTACCATTGTGCCCAGCTTTCTTTATTGGTTGAGATGAAGTCTTGCAAATTTTTTTGCCCAGGGTGACTTCAAACCATAATCTCCCAGTTTCTGCTTCCCAAGTAGCTAGGATTACAAGTATGGACCACTATGCCTGGGCTCTTTTTGAAAAGAAATTTTTTAGCAATAATCTTTACTTTCTATCAAATATCATAAAGCAACAATTAGCATGAGTTAGAACAGAATAAAAATTACCTGTAATCCTGCCACATCATATATTCAAGTAATAATTTAATGTGTTTAATATTAGTGAAGGATATAGTTTTAATATTTTTATATAAAAATTTATAAGCAATATATCATTATTTGCAGTTAAGAAAATGTTAAGAGATTACTGAAGGGGATGGAATTTATCCATAACTACAAATTCTACTTTAAACAACAAAATACAATTTTGGGGGGAAAAAGTTGTTAGAAATGTGTTGTAGAGTTGGGTATGGGGGCTCAGTCTGTAATTCCATCCCAGAGGAGGATGTTAAGGCCATCTGGGGATACATAGTTGCAAGAAAAACAAAACAAAAAAAGTACCATAAATGATTTTTACCTTACTATTTTTTTTTAATTTTTACTTTTATTTTTAAGGAGTTATACAAAAGGGTTACAATTTCAAGAGTCATGTTATGAATACAGTGCTCTAATGAGTAAAGAGATAATGTCATCCCTTCCTTCGCTTTCTCACCATTTTTGCCCTCCCATGCTTACCCACAAGTTCCGTAGTTCATTTTTTTACATAGTATATATTGAATACAATGATTGCGTTCCGTAGTTCATTTTTTTACATAGTATATATTGAATACAATGATTGCATTTGCTCATCCTTCCCTCCATTCGTGTGTACCCCCTTTTACCACCCCTAAAACAAAGAAGAAAACCTTATTTCCATTTCTTGGAACTTTTTTTGAAATAGTACTTTAGATGTCCAGAGGAGTTATGCCTTTGAATTCCTCCCCTACATATACCCTCCTTTAGTTAGTTTGTATGTAAATGCATAGAGTACCACATAAGTGGTTTAATTGTATTTTATATCTTGCTTTTATATATGAGAGAGAACATGCACCTTTTGCCTCTCAGCTTGGCTTACCTGACTTAATATGATTTGTTCTAGGTCTGTCCATTTCCCTGAAAATAACATAATCTTATTGCTAACGTATGAATAAAATTCCACATTTTC